CCCTGCAGCAGCCGGGGTTTACGACCGCGTGGGTTTCCTGGGACCGAATCCCACGGCGTCGTCCGCCCCTGACGTAGACTCATGGTTAGAACTCGGTTTCGACAGGAGTCTTGTAACACTGGGGCACTGGTAGAATTTGATTCATTCTTCATTACCGTGCTGACAATGGATAGAACAGTGTATGGACTCTGCAGCACCTTCCCTATATTATACGTGTAACGACGCTCTACTTAGATTACATATTTGCTACAGTAGTTTATATTTCGCGTGTCAATATTAATATTAAAGTACCCATCTTCGACACTGTACTCGGATCCGGATTCAAGATTTCCGGCGCTCAGTTTTGTTTCGTTCCAGCCTTCACTATGCCAGCCACATTCATCTCAGGCACCCATATCATCCTGGCTGACGCAAGCTCCGTCGACATTGTGATGCGGCCGTTTGCTACTTGCCAGCCAGAGCGCTGACTGCGTGCACCGGAGGCAAGTGCTTGCTCTCTGAATGAGACCTCAATGTTGTCCTCACGATCCAGCGTGGCAGTGGGTTTGGGAATTGATACCCATGACTCTGACTACGATTACGCACGAACGGCATCAAACTCGTATCATCCACGCCCTCATATCCGTACCCTGGACAACAAGGCTCGTGTGCACAAGAGGACGCTAACAGGACCAAGGGCCCCGCGGCATGCTCAAGCTCGGGTTTCGCGGTACCCCAGCGCACACGTTCAGGGCTCCGTACAGCCATTTCCCCCATCTCTTACGTTCGATTACGCCCAATCCCGACCCTTGCAAGGGCTGAGTGTCCCCAACACGGCCGGATCCCTTGTGTCGCTGGCGCAGCCCGAGCTATCACGGAACCAAAGTCAGGAAGGCGTTCTGGACCCAACCATGCCTCGAGAGTGCAGTACATCAGCGGACCAACAGCGACGAGCATCCATCGGCAGCTATTCGGACCCTTCGGATGGCGGCGCGCTGCCCCGAGATGTAACTCTCCTCAGTTTTGGGGGGTCACACGCCCGCAGTGCCGTGGAGCTGAAGGCCCTGCTTGGCGACTCCCATGCCCGTCTCAAATCTGGCGCAGCCATTGTGCCGGAACATACACGCCATTCGCCGGACAAGAGGGCACAGAAGGAGCATGCGGTCGCTTACGAACAGGCCAAGCCGCGCGCGCGCTCGAGGTCGATATCGTGCTGGAGAGCAATGTATGCGTGCAAGGCGGGTACCTTCGTGGGCATATCAAAGTTCGTGTACGGAAGCGGTCGAGAAAGGAGGGTCTTATCTTTCTTTCCGAAGGCAAGATACGTGTCGTCGGATATGAAGTTGTCGCAAGCGAAGACGCGCACCATACTTTCTATCACTGCGGTGCGCCCTTATCCGCGGTAACTGATGCATCGCCGAACCTCTACACGTCCGCCCCCGACGATGAAGGCTTCGCTCCTGCAGTCGAGGGCCTACATGTCATGCCGTTTGCCTTCAAGCTCCCAACCGATAGTTCTTTTGGGGTCCCGAAAGGCGTCTTGACCATTGGCGGTGGGGCATTGGTTCGTTATATTGCTATGGTGTAAGTCATTGTCTCCATTCCATTCCATTTCGCTTCGCTCATTTATTGGCCATGTACGTAGTTCAATGAAGGTTAAGGATGCTGCGACGGGGAAGCGGTCCATAGCTCATTTTTATCGTCAATGCGAAGTCTGGCCATGCCTCGACTCGACTACCGTCCTGCAATCGGCCGCTCGACCTCTCCAGGCTAGTACTGCTAAGAGCCTAGCACTGCTGGGCAACTCGTCGAAAGTTAGGCTCAACGCTCAAATGCATCGCCTGTACTGGGCAGCGGGTTCACGATGCCCGGTCAACCTACATGTCGGGAACGAGTCAAAGAAGACGATTAAGGGCCTCATCTTGACTCTTGTACGGACCGTCACCGTCTTCCGGCCGCGACCTGCCCTTAGTGCCGGCGATGACCGAGACTTGGATGCGTGCCAAACGGCTACGACACATAAGGTCGTCTCTGAGTCTGCACTTGAGATATGCGCAGGCGTTGCCAGAGGCCACGCCAGTGCCAAGGGCTGGTGGACAGGCGTTCCTCCAGGACGCGAATTCGACTTCATTCATTACATCCAACTTCCGGTGAGCCTTTATCCGCTTGGCTTGGCAGGCGTCGCGGCCATACTCACGCACCTTGACAAGGCCGACGCACTATCCATTACTCGATCGCGCCTCTTAGAAGTCGAGTACTCCGTCCGTGTCACGATTAGTGCAGGCTCGCTGTCACCAGACGTCTCCGTCACATTGCCTATCCGCATTTTCAATTTCATCTCCATCGACCCGCCTCCCAGCGCAGGTCTGCTCTCCGCTACTGGTGCATACATCAAGTCTTCTCAGTCCTTCTGCTCCCACACGACAGAAGGCCCGCCCCTCTCGAGCACAAGTATCGCCGCCCAAGCATCGAACAAATTGCTTTCTGTCACTCCGGTAGAGGAAGAACCTGAGGATGACATATCGTTGCCACCATATCCGACTAGCCGCGCCGGATCGCTACGCGTGACGAACCCGGACCGTCTGAGCTCTGAGCTGCCCCATCCACCAATCCGCAGTGAAAAGTCCGAGTGCAGTGTGTATTCCACGGCAGGTTCTGCGGGCGACATCAGTGATATGGACATTCTGGCAAGACCGCCGAAGAAGCTTGGGAACTTGGATCTCAAACACGACGCCGGCTCTGATGACGAGATCGAAGCTGTTCTGCATTCCGCAAAGGTGGGCAGGAGACGGTCCCGCACCTCCCACGGAGATCCAGCACGAAACTCGAGAAGAGCTCCGAAGGGTGGATCACGAACCACCGACAGCGATCCCGAGGATGTCGTCCCGAGTCCCGGGAAGACGCCGCGCATGGAAGGCGTCGGCGCAGGCATGACCTCCTTTGCGTCGCGAGTGCAGGAGAAGAAACGCGCCATGGCTCTGGCGCGGATACAAGAGCGCGCTCGACCGAGTTACGTACCAGGTTTACCGGGTCGCACCGCAGTATCTGCGTTCTTCCCGATCTCGTCGGCCTCTGCGGACGAAGGGGAGCACACGCCTCGTGTGGGTTATTCGAGCGTGCGAGACTGCCGCCGCCCGGCGTTGGAGTCGTCGGACGATTCGACAGATTATTCGTCGGCCGAGCCCATGAGTGACCGCCGGATCAAACGACAGCCTTCCCAACGCTCGCAACACAGCTCTCGACAACTCCCTCGCCCGCCTGCGATATCTCCGGTCCACGAACTAGACAACCAGCCGGTCTCGAGCTCCGGTTCGCGCATCCTTCCTACACCCTCCTCCGTTTCTGGTCTGCCAGCTCCGACAGCCATTCCCCCAGTGCCGCCTATCCCTGCTCATCTGCTTGTGTTATGTGCACGTAGCCCCAGCCGTGACCCGGACCCCTTGAGAGCAGCTATCGTTCGCCCTCCACGTTCGCCGCTGCGTCCACTCTTACGAGGGGCAGATAGTTCTACCTCATCAGACAGCGGAAGCGGTGTCAAAGGCCGGATTGCCACTTTGGAGCAACGATGCAAGGACTCGGTCGAAAGCGGTTACATGTAGTGCTGGAAGTATAAGTCAAGTATGCGACATCTTGTCATTCTACACTCGGCTTATGCATGTGTATATTCTACAAGAGGCTATTGTGTTTTACAGCGCGATCTGTCTGATAATGTTAGCATTTCTAGTTGATGACAACGCCACCATTGACGTGAAGGACTTGTCCGCTGCAAAGCAATCAGCACTTCAATTGGCGTAATGCAGCAAGTGATGTATACCTGATGTAGCCGGAGTCCGCGGAGGCAAGGAACACGAAACAAGTGGCAATTTCAACAGGCTGTCCGGCACGCTTCATAGGAACACTTGCACCGAAGGTCTTGATGCTGTCGTCCGTCATTGTAGCGGGGCTGGACAGCGACCGTAGGTAACGTGTCGTTAGCATAATCAACTGAGTGCTTACATTAGCGGGGTCCAAATAGGCCCAGGGGCAACGGCATTGCACCTGATACCCTTCTCTCCGACAATCTGGTTGCTGAGGGCCCTCATAAAGGCGATGATGGCGCCCTTGGTAGCCGTGTAGTCCAAAAGCTCCGGGTGGCCGACAGCCATGTTGATGGAGCCGTTAAAATTGATGCTCGGGTACGGGCTCTTTTCAAGATACGGAATTGAAGCCTTGACGATGTAGAAGAATGAATGGATGTTGGTGTCGAAAGTGCGAACCCATTGCTCGCTAGGCAGTTCCGTGATATCTGTCACGGCATTTTGGTTTCCGTGATTTAGGACACTGCACGGAGCGTTTCAAGTGAGCATATACGTAAAGGTCGTATCGTAAATGTACTGACAGGATGTCCAGCTTCCCATTATGAGCTTCAGCGTGCTGAGACACGAGTTGTCTGCAGAGCACTTCTTCGCGAAGGTCGGAGATGACGGTCGCAACTTTACGCTTACCACCCGTCTTTTCGTGGATGCAGCGCTCTACGTCCTTGAGCTCATCCTTTTCCTTCTCAGTAGCATGAAGGGTAAGGTCGGCACCCTCGAGTGCTAGACGCGTTACAGCATCAGCCAACGCGTCCGCCGTCCACTCAAAAAGCGCGCATATACCCACCGAAAAGAATAGCAACAGCCCTGCCGATACCACTATCGGAGCCAGTGATGATCGCAGTGCGACCCTCTAGCTTTCCTGCTGCCTTGTACGGCTTCCCATCGGGAGTGATGTCGTCAATGGGTGCGGGGCTGAGTTTCTGTTGGAGACCGGGGGTGTCATCCTGCCTCTGGTACGGGACCTTGTAGCCGGGCTTGAACTGCTCTGGGACGTTCGACATGGCGTGAATGTGGTTTGGGAGAGCAGAATTCTGGCGTCGTGCAAGCCATTATATATCCCTGGCTCTGCCTCTGCTTCTGCAGTGTGGCTCTCGACGAAGAAGTTGGCGCGTGACGTCAGACGTGCAGCAAGAGCGTCACCGCGTCTGTCACTGCTCGCCACGTGGGAACTCGCTTGACTTCCTTCGACAATGTCTCTCCTCTCCCTCCCGCCAGTCCCGCCAGAGCTCAAGACCGTCACTCCATTCCTGCAACGCGCGGAAGAACTCAAGACAAAGGACCCGGTCATTGCCTACTGGTGTATGTCCGAGACCTTTCTCTCGTCGTCCGAGGTATTCACGGCCCCCACATAGGTGCCTACTATGCTGCGCAAGCCGGTATCTCTCACAAGCTCAAGGACAATGCCGCTCGCATGTTTTTGCTGCACCTGCTTGAGACTCTCGAGAAGATGAAGGCCGATATCGGCCAGAACGATGTCATTGACGACGAGTCGGTGAGCAGTGCTTACGTCGAGAACTTTGCGCTGCGCGTTTTCGCGGCTGCGGATGGCGAGGATCGCAAGGGGAACGCAACACGGTGCGCAGTATTCTAGTCATTGTGCGACAGCCTGACGTTAAACTTTACTCAATTCTCAAGAACGACTGCAAAGAAGTCCTCGCGGCAGCAAA